CGGCCGCGCGCAGCGAGAGCCGCTGTTTGGGTTCGCGGCCGGCGCGGGGCGGGGCGGCGGCCGGAGGGGAAGAGGCGGAGCCGGCAGAGGGCGCGACCGCGGCGGGGCGGTGCTTCCCGGAGGCGGGGGACCGGGGCCTGTCCCCGAGGGTCGGACGCGGCCCGCGACCTCCCGGGGGAGGGGCTGGCCCCGAGCGCGCGGCTGAGGGCCCTGGCGGCGCCACCTGCGAGCGCCTCCCGAAGGGCCGGGTGCGTCTTAGGACCGCGGAGGCCGGTTTCCAGGCCTCCCAGAGCCGCGTCGGGGCTGGGGGGGACGGTGGGAGCCGCTCGGGGCCGGGTTCCGCCCTCGCGCGGGGAAGCCGCGGGAGGCGCGGGGGCGACGCGATCCCGGGCGCCCGGAACGCCCGCGCGGGGATCGGCAGCCCCTGTCGCAGCGTGGGAGCCCCGGGAGCCAGCTGACATCCCGGCCCCGTGTCAAGCTTTCTCGGCGTGCTCCGAACTTGGTCGCAGCCCACCGTCGCGTTTCACTGGACCGGGAAAGCTTTACCGCGGAGTTTAACGCACCACTCAGGTCGCATTTCCTTTCCCAAGGCTGGGTTCCAAAACAAAACAAAACAAAAACAGCTCTATGGAGGTCTAATTCACAACCCATACGATTCACCGATTTAAAGTGCATAGTAAGTGGGTTTTAGTATGGTCACCGACCTGTGCAACCACCACCAGGATCAATTTTAGGACATTTGGTTACACAAAATCGCTTGTACCCATCAACAGCGACGCCGGGTTCCTCCCAACCCGCGCCCAGCCGTTGACTCTCACCCATCTTTCTGTCTCTATAGATCTGCCTAACCTGGATATTTCATATAAATGGAATTCTATGAAATGCAGCCTTTTCTGTCGGGCTTATTTCACTTTACGTTTTCGACGTTCATCCATGTTATACATGTATCGGTACTTCATTCTTTCTATCACCAACTTGTATTCCATTGAATAAATATACCACTTTTCATTTATCCCATCATCAACTGATGGACATATGGGTTGTTTCCATTTGGGGGCTATTATGAATAATACTGCGGTGAACATTCGGGTGCAAGATTTTGTGTGGATATATGCTTTCATTTCTCCTGGGTATATACCCAGGAGTAGAATTGCTGGATCATGTTTAACCTGAACTGCCAGATGTTTTCCAAAGCAGCCACACCATTTTATATTCCCACCAACAATATATGAGGGTTCCAATTTCTCCATATCCTCACCAACGCTTGTTATCATCTATCTTTTTAACGATAGCCTTTCTAGTGGGTGTGATATTTCATCGTGGTTTTGATTTGCATAAGGTATATGTTTTTGTTTGCTTGCTTGCTTGCTTTTCCTTTCTGTTGTTGTTTTTAGAAATACGAAGGACGGGCGCCTGTGAGGCTCAGTCGGTTAAGCCTCCAACTCTTCATCTCGGCTCAGATCGTGATCTCACGGATCGTGGGATCAAGCCCCAAGTCTGGCTCTGTGCTGACAGTGTGAAGCCTGGCTTGGGGTTCTCTCTCTCTCTTCTCTCTTTCCCTACCTAACCCCTCTCTCTCCCTCTCTCAAAATAAACAAACATTAAAAAAAGAAAGAAGAGCTCAGGGGCAAAGGAACTGATCTTACTTTTTCTTCTTAATTGTGTTGACCCGAGTTAGGCAAATTGCAAGGTTTGAGGGCACAGGCCTCAGGACTTCTGACCCCAATTACAAATTTGGGGGTTCCCCCCAAATATAAACAAATTAAAAATAAAAAAAACAGGGGCACCTGCATGGCTCAGTCAGTTGAGCATCTGACTCTTGGGGAGTCTCCTCTCTCTCTCTCTCTCTCTCCCTCTCTCTCTGCCCCTCCATGGTTTGCTCCCTCTCTTTCTCTCTCTTTCTCAGAAAATAAACAAATAAACATTAAACAAACAAAACTGGGGGCTCCCAAACCACCTTCACTTTTGATAATTCTCTGGAAGGCCTCCCAGAACTCACAGAGGCACTCCCCGTGGCTGTGGTTCCTGATGAAGCCAGCTAAGGGAAGAAGTGCAGAGGGCAAAGTGTGGGGGCCTCCACACGCAAAGCTGCTGTCGCCTCCCATGCAGTCAGGGCGTGTGACACGCCCAGCCTGGGTGTGTGAGGATTGCAAACCAGGGAAGCTTGTCTGCTGTTCAGTGTTTATTGGAGCTTCCAGTATGTAGGCGTGACTGATTGATTGATTGCCCTTGAGGCTGAAGTCAGTCTTCAGGTCAACTTGACGATGCATGATGGGATCTCCCGACTACATCACCTGGATGGGTCTCTCTGGCACGACCAGCCTCCACCTTAGAGTACAGATTGGCCTGCCCTCGTCTAAACAAAGACGCTTTTATCAGGTGCGGCATAGATTACCTCCCAGAAGGCAAAGACAAAGGCCAGACCTCCTCTTCAGGCAAGCCCAAAGTCTTTACTGCACCACCTGGCCTTTATCCAAAGCTCTCCTGCAGCAAAATAAACATATGCCCTAACGTTTGGAGGTGGCAGCGTGGAGTAGGAGGCTCTTAACTCAGTTTTCAGACTATCAGTATCAGCGGTGCAATCTTCCCGGTGACACAGTACCAACGTTACACCACATCACAGTGTGAGGAGTGGACGTAACCTGAAGGGTAAGAGTCACAAGACGGTGGCGTATTACTGAAATTCCACTCAATCATCGGCAACTGGCCCAACTCGTCATCATGTCATACGGCCACAATGGGTCCCAAAGCATTCCCACTCAGGTTTGCAGGTTTCCATTCAACTCATCAGTTTCTAGAAACAGGAGAGGTCTCTACCCCCAGAGATGTCTGCTGAGTGCTCTTAGGAGACCGTCTCGTCTCTTGCTCCGAGCTCCCACCCCCACCCCGCAAGGTGTTAATGTAATACTGGATTTTTCTTGTGGCATAGCCTATTTATTTGTTCTTTTGCCCTTAGCTACTATTTCTCCTTCTCTCTATTTGTGATTTATTTTTATTCAGACTATCTCCTGTTGGAAGGAACGCGCGCGAAGTTCAGCCCGGTGATCCGCTGTTCCTGATTGCCTGCACTGACACTACTTGAGGAAATGCACCCCCCTCAGTCCATTCCCCTCCATACAAGGTAAGGTGAACAGAGCTGAATAACTTGTGGGCTTTCTCGACCACCAGGCGGCACGGCTCCATTTGCTATCAATTCCAATTTTGCCAGATGGAGTGAAAGCGTAATCCACCCCATCAATGTCTTGGGAATTCTAGTGTAATGGTTTAAAAATATAGTCATAGTTTCTTGCTTAGGGACCATCCTTGGTTCTAGCACTTGCAGTTGAAGCCCTGGTCCTTAGGACCACTGCATCAGGAAGAAAAATAAGAAAGTTGAGGCAATGTGGAGGAAAAAAAAGCAAAAACTATACTCATACTGTCTTCTCTCCATGGGAAGAGCTACACAGTCATACCAGCGTTCTCCCTCACCCCTTCTGCAGAGCCCCCAGAAAAGCAGAGAAATCTACCGAGTAAGCAACACCCTCATGAAGATACGTAAGTCAGCCCTTCATGCCTTATCTCTCCCTCCCCCATTTTATTTTTTCTCCGTCCCCCATTTTAGACAACCAATGTTCCAATTGCCTGTTCCAATTCTCGGTTATACCTTCACTCAAGATATGCAACCTGAGTCATCCATTTGATGTGATATCTGTTTGTTCATTGTTGGACACTCTGGGCTATGAAGTGTGTTCTTCGGTCTGAAGAAATGGGACTTGGTGGTCCAAACTGGTGCAATAGCTTCTGGTCCAGTCTTTTTATAGTATGTTGAACATTTGCATCTACCTCTAGGCATGGAAAACCCGGTCCGGAGTGTGTCTGTTCCTACCAAAACCCATTTGTAACCTTCCAGGGCTCCCAGCATCAGTCCAGCCGCCAGCTCTGCATCGGGCCTTTCCCCCAGGGAATCTGCCCCACAGCCATCTGTAGCCTCCATCATTTTTGCTGGCCCACAACAAAGTTCTTCTTGGCATTTTGTGCTCCAGAGGGTTTGAGAGGGCGATGTCTAGATTTGTCCCATCTCTGCACTGCTGAACCCCCCATATCCACTCATTCCGTGGGCCCAGGGGGCTACCTCAAGTGAGCACACCAGGATATCCACTTGCTGGTTCCAGTCCCCTCCCAGTCCTACAAGGAGGTTCTTCTGATGGACAGTGACATGCCCCACTTTAATGTATCCCTGAATGCCCATAGTCATTTCCGCAGGGCAGTGCCCCCCAACAGGCATCCCTTTAATAGGCAAATTTTCCATTGTTCTTCTACTTAACCACATGGTCAAGACATTAGCTGTTGCCCATGAGTTGGTTCAAAACCCTAACATAGAGGGGCGCCTGGGTGGCAGGTCATGATCTCGCTGTTTGTGAGTTTCAGCCCCGCGTCAGGCTCTGTGCTGACAGCTGGGAGCCTGGAGCCTGCTTCGGATTCTGTGCCTCCCTGTCTCTCTGCTCCTCCCCTGTTCATGCTCTGTCTGTCTCTCTCTCTCAAAAACAAACATAAAAAAAACCAAAAACCCCAACATAGGGATCACATCATGGAATTCAGCCACTGAACTCATTTGTTTTTATCTTCCTTTGGCAGCCTTCCAAACAGCACGCTATCCATTCACCTTGAAACTGACATCTGTAAACCAAGCAGCTCTTTTGTGGTGAATAGACAGCACTGCCCAAGCGGCTATAGGGCCAGCAATTTCTCGCATGATTCCCGAGTCAGCCTTAGGGGAGATAATTCTAGCTGCTTATGAACATATGTGTATCCCCTTGCATACCCTGGTTCCACGTTCCTGCAAAACCAGCCCCGTTTTTCCATGGCAGTCTTCTGGGCATTGCCTTCTCCATTAGAGTGTTTCTCCAAGGTCACCTAAGACATTATGTGTATTTTAGGTTTCAAGATTGTTTTATGTTCTTCAGTCACTGGGGCCATTGGCAAGGTAGTCCAATACCAAAGGTGGTAATTGCCTCTGAAATGGAAGTCTTCTGTCCAGACTCTCGGCAGTCATTGAGAGGTGGTGCTCACAGCCTCTTGCTGTGAGCCCCAGTCTGGGTAAGGATTCCAAGACTGCTTCCAAGCAGTTGGAGGGGTAAGATCTTAGGAAGATTTCCAGATGTGGAATATGCACCCTGCAAAATCCAAATAAACCAGGTCTTGTAACATGTTTTGTCTAGCAGGTATCCCATACTGTTTAAAATCAACAACTTGTGTGGGCTTGGGCAAGGTTCTTGCTTCCCAGTTAGGATGCTCAACCAACGTTGCGTGAAAGGACAGGTTTACCTGCCCTCTGTTTCATAGCACTAGGTAGAGGAAACTTTTCCCAGTCAGACACAAAATCCATCCCTCTAGTACTTTCACATAAAGGAGATGTAAGCACTTTACAGAGTCTGTTCAAACATTCTCTCTAGAGAGAGACAAACAGTGCACAAGAAGGGGAGAGGAGAGAGACGGAGACAGAATCCGAAGCAGGCTCCAAGCTCTGAGCTGTCAGCACAGAGCTCCACGTGGGGCTCGAACTCACGAGCCGTGACTCACAAGCCATGAAATCCTGACCGGAGCCAAAGTCGGACACTTAAGGGTGAGCCACCTGGGCGCTCCAAAGAAAACACTGGATTTTAAGAAGAATGAAGACGTTGGTCAGTCAGGCAAAAAAAAAAAAAAAAAAAAAAAAATCAGGTCATTAATTTATAAAAGAAATCAAGCTAGTTTCAGATTTCTCCATGGTAACATTCATCATGAGGGAACAATGACATCTGTAAGATCCTCAAGGAAAGAATGTTGAGCCAAGGTTTTGTAGCGAGCTAATCTGTATTTCACCCATTGAACGTGTAATAATTAAGGAAATGTTTTTCCTATGAGTGTTCCTTGAGGAAAGTGTTAAGGCAATGAGCCCACTCGGGCTGCTCTAAAACAATACCACGGACTGGGTGGCTTACAAGCAACAGAGATTTATTTCTTACAGTTCTGGAGGCTGGGAAGTCCAAAATCAAGGTGCTGGCAGATGTGGTGTTTGGTAAGGGCTCACTTCCTAGTTCATACTGTCCTCACATGGTGGAAGGGGAAGGGAGCTCTCTGGGTCTCTTTTTTTTTTTTTTTTTTTTTATTTAAAAAAAATTTTTTTTTCAACGTTTATTTATTTTTGGGACAGAGAGAGACAGAGCATGAATGGGGGAGGGGCAGAGAGAGAGGGAGACACAGAATCGGAAACAGGCTCCAGGCTCTGAGCCATCAGCCCAGAGCCCGACACGGGGCTCGAACTCACGGACCGCGAGATGGTGACCTGGCTGAAGTCGGACGCTTAACCGACTGCGCCACCCAGGCGCCCCTCTGGGTCTCTTTTAGAAGAGCACTAATCCCATTCGTGAGACCAAAATCACCTCTCAAAGGCCCACCTCCAAATGCCATCCTGTTGGGCATTAGGATTTAACATAAGAATTTCGGGGAACACAAATATTCAATACGTAGCCAGCCAGAAAGATGACTGGAAAAATATAGCACTGCCTTTGGAGACTTTGAGAAATGGATATATTTAACAGTAGAACAAAGACTAAAACAAACGTCGGGGCTAGAATGCTTTGTAATTGATATATACCTTAACAATGTGAAATAATAATAAAAGACATGCATTTTAGAAGGGGAAGGAGGAAAACGTGGAAGGTAGGCGTGACTTTATAAATTACATCATTTGTAACTGAAATCCAAAGGTATCATTTCAATCTGACACATCAAGTAATAGAAGTGTAGACATTTAGGGGCACCTGGGTGGCCCAGTCGGTTGAGTGTCTGACCTGGCTTCCGCTTAGGTCATGATCTCACAGTTTCGAGCCCCATGTTGGGCTCTGTGCTGACTGTTGTGAGCCTGCTTGGGATTCTCCCTCTCCCTCTCTCCCTGCCCCACTCGCGCGGTCTCTGAATCTCTCAAAATAAATAAATAAACTTAAAAGAGCAGTATAAACATTTAACGCCATCAAGGTAAACATGAAGAATTATTGACTCAAATCAGGTGAGTGGGGAAGAAAGAGGAAGTATGTACATTTTATCATTGTTTATGGTAAAGGACTAAGATATTATCGAAGGAAGTAGAGGGATATGGGGCCAAATGAGGTGTAATTACAGAGGCGAACAAAACAGTAGAAACTTTCCTAATAACAGACCTGAAAAAAGGAAGAGGGAAAATAACACTCTTGAGTGATGACACGATTGCGTTCTTTTCTGCTTCCACTGCCCTTGCTTATTCTGGGGCCCCGGGGTATTCTGGGGCATTCTGTGTTAGGCAAGGCTGGCTGGCACCTACCGGGTGGCCCTGCCCTTTCCACTCTCAGCTGAGATCAGGGCTTTCAGTGCTTCTCAAACAGTGTGGAATGTCCCGTTTCCTTCCATCGTTCCTTTCTGCGGCAAACCAATCAGAAAAATGGAAGGAGAACTAACGAAAACAAACACACACAAAATACAAGCTTTAATGATTTGCTATTAGAGTCCACAGACTTAAAAACAGTAAATATAAGCTGAACAAACATAATTTCGAGAAAAAGAATGACAAAACTGCTAGGTTCTTTGTTAAAAGTATGCATAAAAGTGATTCATGTAGAGGATTATTTTTTGTAGTGAGCTAGATTTTCCAAAGATGGCTGCCACAACATCTCCAATCCAGTATGTTCTTTTCTAATGTGACACTTATTCCATTGAGTGGTGGGGTCTATAGCCCCTCCCCTTGAGCCTGGGTTGGCCTTTGGACTGCTTTGACCCATCCACTGTGGCAGAAATGACACTGGAGGACTTAGGAAAGCAGGCTCCAAAAGCCCAGGTAGCTCCTCCCTGGTTTTCTTGGGACATGAAACCCGACAACTGATCCATGACGCTCTGAGTAAGCTCAAGAAGTCTGTGGCGATGTCCTTGTAGAGAACATAGTCCCGGTTGAGTTCCCACCCAATCGCTAACACAGACTTGCCAGCCAAGTGAGTGAGTCATTTCAAAAGTTCATAGGGGCGCCTGGGTGGCGCAGTCGGTTAAGCGTCCGACTTCAGCCAGGTCACGATCTGGCGGTCCGGGAGTTCGAGCCCCGCGTCAGGCTCTGGGCTGATGGCTCAGAGCCTGGAGCCTGTTTCCGATTCTGTGTCTCCCTCTCTCTCTGCCCCTCCCCCGTTCATGCTCTGTCTCTCTCTGTCCCAAAAATAAATAAAAACGTTGAAAAATTAAAAAAAAAAAAAAAGTTCACCCTCCATCCCCCAGTGATGCCTCATGGAGCAGAGATGAGCCATCCATGCTGAGCCCTGCCCGGATTGTAGATTTTGACTTCTTTTTTTTTTTTGGCCAGTTCTTGCCCCCCAAACTCCTCTTGTTGGCTTCTGGAGAACTCTACTTCTAACAACAAATGTCACCCAACCCTTATTCTGACAACTTTCCTTCTTACCTATTTTAAATGCTTATTTATTTATTTTGAGGGTGGGGACAGCACAGGGGGGAAAGAGAGAGAGAGAGAGAGAGAGATTCCCAAGCAGGCTCGTGCTGGGCCCAATCCCACGACCTTGAGATCATGACCTGAGCTGAAATCAGGAGTCAGACTCTCAACCGACTAAGCTACCCAGGTGCCCCTTAGGTATTATAAAATGTAATTTGTACTTTCCTCAAATTCTAGCGTTTGAATTATACAAAAAGTAATATAAACCTGGTTAGAATTTAGACCCAACTCCAAAAATCTTACTTTTGGTATGAGTCATTTAGGAAATTCCAAATGCTGACTCTTTGTCATTACGGGTAGTACTAAATGGTCCTTTTCTGCACATCAGCAGGAGCTCTTTTCTCAAAATCTGTAGCATGAAATATGTGTGGCTATTAATCTGATAGGTTTAGCAAGGTAAAGCCCTACATCTGACATTAATTCTGGCAACTTCAACTGTACTTTCAGTCTCTGAACACGGCAGGACAAGATAAGGGTGAAGAAATGTGGGCACTTGACTCAGGCACAAAGTTTGATGGGATGCCAAAATAATCAGTAATCAAGATAAACAATGTTTTAAGACGATATTACAAAAACAACAAAATTAATGCAAAAAAATCCATGGTGAAAACATATCAAAATCGTAAAGATCATCTCGACATAACTGACCGAATGAGTCATAGAAGTCTGTAACGGGGTTACATTCCTACAGTCACCACCCCAAAGCAGGTTATCACCTCATTCTTGGTCTTTAAAAATTGTTGATTCCAACATTTTTTTCTGATTTGAAAAATTATAAATAGACTTCACATTTTCGTTCTTTAAAAAAAATCTAGACAAAACCCAAATAATAAGTGTTGGTGATGATGTGGAGAAATTGGAGCCATCATGTATTGGCGGCAGGAATGCAAAATGGAGCAGCCACTGTGGTGGTTTCTCAAAAAGTTAAACACAGAATCACCATATGACCCAGCAACTCCACTCCTAGCTTTATACCCAAAAGAGACTCAAACAGATCCTTGTACACCCGTGACCTTAACAGCATTACTCACAATAGCCAAAGGTGGAAACAACTTAAAATGTTCATTAACAGATAAATGGATAAGCAAAATGTGGCATATACATACACACAATGGACTATTATTCAGATTGAAAAAATGAAGTTCTGATATGTGCCGCAACATGGATGAACCTTGAAGATACTATCTCAAGTGAAATAAGCCACATACAAAAGGACAAATACTGAATGAGTCCATTTATATGAGGTACTTAGAATAGGCCAATTTCACAGAGGAAGAAAGCAGAATAGTGGTCACCAGGGACTGGAGGGGGGGGGTGGGAAGTTATTATTTAATAGAGAGTTTCAGTTCAGGTTGATGAAAATTCTGGAAATGGAAAGTGGCGATGATTCTGCAACACTGTGAATATACTTAATGCTACAGAATTGTACACTTAAAAATAGAAAAAAGTGGTGCATTTTATGTCATGTATCTTTTGCAGTAAAAATAACAAATGCTCACTTCATAAAGGTAAAAAAAATAAGAAAATAAAGAATACATTTTAAATTAGTTCTAATACTAGTACTCAGAGAAGTAGCTGATTTGGCTCCAGACTTTTCTCACATCTTGGGATGACCTCACAATATGTGGCGACCTTATTAAGACGTTAATTTTTCCTCTCTGGATTTTCCCTTCCCTTGCATTGTGTAGACAGGCAAAAAAAACATAATGGCTGGCCAAACATTTTCCTTTCTGCTGGCTCCCTCTAACAAATCCTAATCTGTCATGTCACCAAAGAGATTAAGCTAAAGACTTTGAGAGCAACCGGAAAAAAGAGAGATTTTGTCGGCCCCTGGAAGGACTGGGGACAGAATTTCTCACCTCACAAGGTCTGAAGGTTGGAGCCGCCCACACCCACCAGCGGCCAAACCTGGGATAGGATGACTCTGAGGTTTCCAGCCTCTGCAAAGATTCCTGTGTGTGAAAGGGAAGAGCTGAGGACGTCTGCGGACTTAAGCAATAAGAATGCCCGTACTAGACTTGGTGCACGAGAGATCCATCTCCCGTCTGAGCACCGGGAGAGCCTCTTGGACCTTAATGCAACCCTTTGGCGAAGAGGCCTAATAAAGACTTCACAGTGGTTTCCCTGACAGCACAGCAGATTTGGATTTGGTTTAATGGTGATGTAGAAGTATGGTCTTCTCTGCCTACTGGAATCTGTGGGCCGAGATGTAGACTTGGCATACGTTGAGTGCCCATACTTTCAACATCCCCGAAGTAATAGAAAAATGTCGGTGTTTCCTCTACTTTGTAGTCCAACCTCTACCAGAAGGAATCCATGAGGACTAATGTTCTCTTTTAGTGGAAAGCGGTGTGTGTGTGTGTGTGTGTGTGTGTGTGTGTATTATCACCTTGGAGATGAGCGGCTGTCGAGAGCAGCCCGCTGTTCTGACTGGCCAGTGCCGTGCCGCAAACCACCCTGTTCACTCTCGTGTGGCCGCTAGCCGTTTCCTCCATTTTCAGTTTTAATGTTTTAATTGAATCATCTAGAGCTCTTTGGTGTGATGATACTTTTTCTTGTCATCACTTATTCTTTAATATGGAGCTTTCAAAGGTTTCTATAAAATTGTCAGTGGAATTATTTATGGCCTAAGACATCCTATGTTGCATTTAAGAATCCAAAAGCCTCGGGATGCCTGGGTGGCTCAGTCGGTCAAGTGTCTCTTGGTTTCGGCTTAGGTCATGATCTTGAGGCTTTGTGGGTTCGAGTCTCACATTGGGCTCTGTGCTGGCAGTGTGTGGGGCCTGCTTAGGATTCTCTCTCTCGCTCCCTCTCCCTTTCTCTCTCTCCTCTTTCTTCCCCTTCCCCACTTGCACTGTCTCTGTCTCTCTCGAGATAAATAAACTTAAAAAAATACAAAAGCATTTTGATATTACAACATTTTGTTTTGTTTAATGGCATCGACTTTTTGGAGACCAGGCCAATTGTCTAGTAGATGCCCTACATTCTCTTTTGACTGGTTCTTCCTGATGTTATTTATTTCTCTCTCCCTCGAATTTCCTATAACCCAGCAGTTAGGTCTGTGGCTTGTTTAGATTCAGATTACACAGTTTTGGTAGGAACACTTCGTAACTGTATTTTGTATTGCATCCTCCCCAGCAGCACGTGCCGGTTTTTCCCCTATAAGGATACTCAACTTAATCTGCTTTCTTGGGTAGGGTGGTAACAACCATATCTCTCCATTGTAAAGATCATGTTGCCCTTTGCAATTGGCAGATAATCTGGGAGTGACATCATGCAATGTTAGTAAATTGTCACCAATAATGCCTCCAACTTCTGTTAGCGTATGCTGCTTCTCCTATCAAGAGGTAGAAATCTAGTTTTCATCCCTTGAATCTGGACTGGCATTATGTGGTGGAAGTGGTATTTCCTTATTTCTGGGCCCAAGCCTTAAAAGGCCCTGAAGCTTCTTTTTTTGTCCACTTGGATTCAAGCCATCAAATAAACTCAGGCTGGACAACTGAATGATGAGAGATCACATAGAGGAGAGAGGCCCAGCCAGCCCACCCGGAGGCACTAGAAATAGGAGTGAAGCCATCTTCAATTCCTCAGCCCTGGTCAAACCACCCCAGCCAACACTATGTGGAACAGAGGCTCCACAGAGTTCTGCCGAATTTGCAGTCACGAGAAAAAATAAATGGTACTTTGAGCTGGCATTGATTGATTTTGAGTGGTTTATTATTCAGGAAACAAATCCCATGTAAATATTCTGTTTCACGTGATAGTTTTAGGATCCATTGATGATAGTTGCCTGGGTCAATTATTTCATTGGGGCTGCCACAGGATAGTTTAAGTTTTGTTCTCCTCTCTACATTATTAGCTGGCATTCTTCTGCAGAGAGAGGGACGGTGGGAGAGAGAGAAACACACCAGCTTTCTCTCATTAACTAGGTATAAACTACTGTTTCTCCTAAAAATGAAGGGTCAGTGTTTAATCTTTTCCATTATTAGTTTCAGAATAAAAAGTTGAGGTAATATTCAACCCCCAAGGATGGCAAATAAGGTTCTTTGCCCCTCTACTTCTTTTCCAGTCTTCTTTAGATGTTTGTCCTCCATAGCTGTGCCCTCTGCATATCTGCCATTGAACTTAGAACATTGCAGTATAATTGATTCATTTGTTGATCTGTTTAACTGAACTTTATGTTCCTTGAGGGCAGGGACTTAGAAGCTAAGCCAAGTACATGTAGTTCTAAGTGAAACTAGGTTTCTGTCATGCCCTTACTTATCTTACATAGATAATATCTGATAATTTTTTAATGGTGTAATTGCTTTGTCTTTTGGTGATTTTGATGTTTTTTCATTTTTTAATCAAAAGAATAACTGCATGTGGTTATAAAACAAATATAGTGGGCCAGTAATATAAATTAGTTCCTGGCCCTCAAACCCTCAACTCCACCAGAGATGATCATTCTCGAGTTTTTAGCTTTGGTTTTTGTAATTTTTTTTTCAGAAAAATGGCCACGACTTCTTTCAACCCAAATGCCTTATTTACAATGTCACCTTGCTGTTTCTCCCAGTGACAGGTGGGATCTACATCCTCTCCCCTTGAAACTGGAGGGCTTTTGTGACTGTTTCAACCAGTAGAGTACGGCAGAGGTGACACTATGTGACTTCCAGGACCTGAACATTAAAGGGAATAGTTTCTGCTTCTCTGGAATACTTGTTATTGTAGCCTTCGTTCTAACTGCCCTGAGGCCACCGTGCTGTGTGGAAGCCCAAACTAGCCCATGCACAGACGGCTTGGAGAGGCCCTGGGATTTCATGCACGTGTCCTACTGCCCCCAGATGTCTCAGCCCTCTGGTCTTTCAGCCCCAGCCAGTGTCTGACCACAACTGTACAATGGTTCCTAGCTAGACCTCAGGAGTTCCTGAGCCACAGAAATCAAGAGAGAAAGTAGTGCTTTAAGCCATGATGGTCAGGCTTCTTGGAGGCCAGACTTGGGAGGTTTTTGGTTATACTAATGAAGTAGCACCTTCACTTACTTTGGGTTTAAGGCCCCATCATCACTGAACTATTGCTTACGATCTCCGTGGCAAAAGACCATTCCAATTATCAGGCTAGCTCTCCTGCATAATGAGCTAAGCCCACTTGGCTTGTAATGGTTAACTGCCACTACTTGACTTCTGCAACCGAAGGATCGGATCGTTCCAGCTCTGATGACATCAAAAAGCCAGCAAAACACTTTGGAAAGCATCCTTTCACCCAGCAAAGGTTTGGTTAAGGGACTGGGTTATTGACCTTCTCTGGGAACAGTTGAGGCCTTGTGAATGGTTCTCACATGAGAAATCCACACCAGCATTTCTATCTCCTAAAGATGTTGGGTTCTTCCTTTTACATTACATATTAATGGAGTTCCAAGTGAGTCGATTGTTGAATTGTTTCTTCAAGCGGCCAAACAATTAAAACCACTCCCAGCAGCTCAAACCGAAACAGTAAATTCAGTCTGTGACTGAACTCACATCAATAGATTTGATCTGAAACTAGGTTCTCCTTTTCTTGGCTGATCACCAAAATCCCCATCCCCACACACAATGCCCCAAGTATTTCCTGAGACTCAGAAGCCCCCACATCCTTCTAAATATACATATCCCAATACTGTGCACCCTGCACTTTCCCTCCCAAATTTCCTTACCATCACATAACCTCCCCCCACTACCAACCCCAAACCCCAAACCCTAACTTGTTGAATCTGAATTCAACTGGTATCACTTGGTAACCTGCAGGATCAACTATTAAGTTTCACTTGATCACTTTAGTACTGTGCATGCAGGATATGTTTGTAGTCCTAGTCCCAGAAGATCCTTGGGCTGCTCTCCTTGCCTTGACCTCAACTAGCAGTCCTTCGAGTTCTCGTGCCTTCATTCTGTTCTACAGCAGCTATGAAGTGGTTCCCCAGTGTCTTGTCCTCACTGGGGACTTCTTCCATGCAACCGTAAGGTGATTAGCTGTTTCACCACAGGTACCAGGTTCCCATTGGGTTGGATGATACTGATGCTGCTACAGTCCTGCTTTTAACGTCCTGCCATCTTCGTGGTGCTCCAGACGGATGGACCTAGATGGCACCTGGTTAACCAAGGCTAGTCAGGTGCCCCTGTGATGCCTGCCAGACGATGAAGAAAAACAGGATGTCCCCACTATGGTTTCTGCAGCAGGCGGCCAGGGGCATTCCCAAAACCAGGAAGGCAGTTTGGATGAACAGCACTCCTCCAAAGTACATTTGTTTGAGGAGTATGTTGTCCTGTTTCTCTCTTTCTCTCTCTTCTTAAAACCTGTTCTGTTGTTTCATAGGGTTCCCAACGGGGAGACAAATGCCTGTGATCAGGTGTCAGCCTAACGGTACCTTGTTGTTGGTTTTTTTAAGTTTATTTTTTGAGAAAGACAGAGCACGAGCGGGGGAAGGGGCAGAGAGAGAGGGAGACACAGAATCCGAAGCAGGCTCTAGGCTCTTAACCAAGCGAGCCATCAAGGCACCCCCCCCCCCCACTGTAACTCTTAATTAAAAACTTGTACTTATTTGGGGAAACTAAAACTTCTCTTATTTTTATTTTTTTTAAATTTTTTAATGTTTTATTTATTTTTGAGACAGAGAGAGAGACAAAGCATGAACAGGGGAGGGTCAGAGAGAGAGGGAGACAAAGAATCTGAAGCAGGCTCCAGGCTCTGAGCTGTCAGCATAGAGCCCGACACGGGGCTCGAACTCACGGACCGTGAGATCATGATCTGAGCCGAAGTCAGAAGCTTAACCGACTGAGCCATCCAGGTGCCCCCAAACTCCTCTTTTTTAAATGTTTATTTATTTTGAGAGAGAGAGAGGAGAGAGAGAGAGAGAGAAAGAGAGAATCCCAAGTAGGCTCCATGCTGTCAGCGTAAAGCCCCAAGCGGCACCTGATTCTCAGGAACCTGGAGATCATGACCTGAGCTGAAATCAAGTTGGACTCTTGACTGAGCCACCTAGGTGCCCTGGCAAATTTAAATAAAAATGAAAACAAAGAAAAAAACTAACAAGTATCCATATTTCTACCACCCAAATTTAGCCACTGTTAATTTCTTGATGTATCTATTTTCATTCTTAATTTTTTAAAAGGTGAAAATGGGGGGGGGGGGGGCAAAAATTATAAACACTGTAAAGTAGTAAAACTTAGAAAAAAATCCAAAGATTCATTCACTCAATAAATATTTATTGAGCACCCACCAGGCACCAGGCACCGTTCCAGATATTGAAATACAGCAAAGGGAAAAAAAAAAAAAAAAAAAAAGACAAAATCCCAGCTCTCACAGAACATACGTGTTAGTAGAAATTACAAATAAGGAAAACAGTACACTATACAATATGTTACATGGTAAGTGCTACAGAGGAAAAAAAAGGCAGGGAATGGGTATAAGGAACGTCAGGAGGGATTGTAAGTTTCAACAGGATGAGCAGGGACCGCCTCACTGAAAAGGTGACATCTGAAAATAGGAGATGAAAGAGGTAGAGAAAATTTTAAAAATCAACCAAAATCTCACTACCCACAAATAAGATAACGAACACAAGGTGAAAATAATTTGTTATGTTTCTCTGTGTACGTACAGATATCTGGATGAATGTTTATATGGACAGATACAGCTAGGAGAAATATACGGTTATAAAAAATGGGTTCAAACTACAAAAATTTTAAATCATCAATGAATTCATCAAGGATCTATTTTTTAGAGAGATAGATAATATATACGTAGATAACACAGACAGATCGACGTATCACCCAGATCCAGATTTGGGATTAACTAAAGTCTAGTATCAACTGGGTTAGAACTGATATTTTGGTCACAGGCTTCCAAGTCACGAACAGGACCCATCTCTCCACTGACTCAGGTAGTTAATTCTTGAGCTTCCGTTTGTAATGTGTCCTAGCTTTCTATGGGAAGGTCTGCACATCTTTCAGATTTATTTTGAGGCAGTGGGTGCTTTCTGATGCTATTACAATTGGTACTATTTTCCTAACTTCAGTTCCTGATTGTTGCTCAGATAAATACCATGATTTTATTAACTCTGCATCCTATCATCTCGTTAAATTCAAATTCGGAGTTTATATTAATTTGGATGTGCTACATACACGATGTTCCCTGCGAAGGACAATTTTGTTTCTTTGTTTTTAATCCCTAAACTTAGACTCTCGTGTCCAAAGTTGAAAAGAAGTGGTGATAGCAGGCTCCAGTATCTTTTTCCTGATCTCTGGGGGGTAAAGTTTTCAAAAAGTCACAATTAAGTATGGTGCCTGCTATAGCGCTTTTTTCTTCTTGGTAGATGCCCTTTCTTAAACTAAGAAGCTCCCTTCTGTTCCTAGTGTGTGACGTTTTTAAAACAAATCACACATAGGTACTGGATTTTATCACATGCTTTTTAGGACTCTACACATGTAACTTCTGTATTTTGTTTTTACAAATGCAATAAATTAGTTTTTCCGTTTAAATTACGGACACGCTGTGTCTTGTGTGGCGTCACGTGAACGGAAACTTGACCTCTGACACCTCTTGCCACGGCAGATTTCAAGCTCCCGGCATGAGCTCCCGGACCTCCCAGGTGGGGAGACATGTGCACTGGTCCTCGTAAGCTGACACGAGCCAGCGCTGGCGTACCTCGGCCTTCAGTCCCTGGTAACCAAGACTGAAATTTA